TTCCTTCATTTGCTGTAAAAAAAATATTGCACACTGTTGCTCTGGGCTGTTAAACAACTGCCATGTCCTATCCAAAGATAATTACATTTCTGCAGTGGGTGAAATGTTCCCCATATAAACCTTACCCACCCTGCAAGGGTGATTGATGTGAGGCTTAATTTGTTAATATTTGCAAAGTGCCTTTCATATGAATTGTTGTTTTCATTTAAATGTTCTCTTTGCATTTTCCCCATTGATGTATGTGTTTTTCTTGAAAAACTAATAAAGATTATTGTTAAAAAGATAAGAGGAGAGCATTATGGAAGTGCAAAGCATTTCTATTATACAGCCACAAATAGGGTTTTTGTTTTTTTGTCTTTGTAATGTATCATACTATGAGGTCCTATTTATGTGCTTATTACAACTCTAGGGGGCTTTTTTAGTCTCATAGTTAGCTGTTTCCCCCATTTGTGTCTTTTGCTACTATTCAGTCTCTGTAGGTGGATACATTTTACATTTCTTGTAAAATTTCAAGTGCTATACATAATATTTTTAAAACTGCATTTATTGTGCATCTTCTCTTGCAGGCATTTAAGCTTTTATCTAAACACTACTTATTAGTCTCTCTCGTCTTGTGTTTGTTCTTAACACAAAAGTGATTTTGAAATGATTATATTTCACATGGACACAAACAAAAAACAGATGTCCTAATGGGCCACTTTCTGATATTCTCACTCATGTTGAACTACTACTTAATTCCATCAGTAGTCCCAGTGAAGCCAGGGGACTATACAAAGGATTACAGTGCTACTTAACATTAATAAGGGTGTCAGAGTCTGGCCGGTGTAGATTATTCCTGACAAAAAGAACTCTGTGGCTATAAAACAAATGTCTGATTAGTCTGTAAATATCAGGATGGTTTCATTGTGAAATTCTGAAAAGCTGATGGTGTGTGAGTTAAACACCATCACATCAATTTAATGTGATTCAGTGTCTGATACTGGAAGGCTCACAGTCTGGCTATTTTCTCTCTAGTCTAGAGTGTACGAATTAAAATATATCATTTCTATTTTTTTATTTGTTTGAAATAGCAGACATGGTTTAAAAAAGGGTTTTATCACTTGAGAAACTTCCAAATGAGGGTGGCCCTCCCCTCCCCTCTCAGTAACACAAATAGCTTTTATTTTCTCCTTTTTTCCCTCCCTTTTACTTTTTTAATTTGAACTGAGATTTCCCAATATTTAATTCCTCAGTGAGGACTAGCTGCTTTGATGTGTTTGTAGAAATTTGCTTTACAAACAATTAAGTTACAGACAAAAAAACAGATCTAATTGTCCAGCCCAAATTCTCTCGCAGAGTCCCAGGAGGCCAGCGGTGCTGGAACACCAGTAGAAGACACTGGCATGGTGGAAGCTGTTGTAGCAACCATGGAGGAGATGAGCATCCTGACTGTCTACTATTAATATTCAGGCCCATGTATTTACATTTTCACAAGGAATAGGACTGGGGCTGGAAAGAATGAAATGGTTTTGTGTCTGAGCATACTAAGTTGCCAAGCTCGTCTCTTTTCTCTCTCAGGTTTACGTGGCGCAATAGCGTTTGCTCTCGCTATTCGGGACACAGACTCTCAACCCAAACAAATGATGTTTACCACAACACTGCTTATTGTGTTCTTCACAGTCTGGGTTTTTGGAGGGGGCACCACGCCGATGCTCACGTGGCTTCAGATCAGGTTAGTATTATCTGACAATTATGTAACACTGTAAAATAATAGGCTGGTAATGGCTAACCACTGAACTTTACAATACTCATTATTTTCAGTAGACTGGGTTATAAGCCACGAAGCTTGGAACTGGCTCTGGAAGTCTCCACACTTCAGCAGGGTCTGGATCCAGTGTTCTGCATTAGGTCCATATGATAGGCCTGGGTCCAAGCCACAAGGAGCAGCTCCTTTTCTTCTCCAAAATATCTGGAGTAGAGTTGGTCCAAATGGCTAATTCAGGCCCATCTCTGATTCTTAAAGGCGTGCTTCCCTACAGTTCTTTAAACTCACTATTATCACTAAGGGCATGTCTAGACTACATAGCTCTGTCGACAGAGCCATGTAGATGAGTTTACTAGACATAACAACATGAAGCGGCGATTTAAATAATTGCCGCTTCATTTACATCAAAATGGCCGCGGCGCTGTGCTGATCAGCTGATTGTCAGCACAGTGCAGTAGTCTAGACGCTCCGTGGTCGACAAGGGAAGCCTTTGTCGACCGCTCCGGTATGCCTCGTGAAACAAGGTTTACTGGAGTGGTCGACAAAGGCTTCCCCTGTCCACTGGTCCGAATCTTGACTCTCGCGCTGTGCCGACGATCAGCTGAGCCGGCACAGTACGGCGGACATGTTTATTTTAATGATGCTGGGGATATTAAAATCCTGGCTTCTCTGACTATGTCGGGTTGCCTAGTTTACATGCCTCCGTTGGCAGAGACATGTAGTCTAGACATACCCTTACTGTGCATAGACAATGCACAACATTAAATGCAAAAACAGTTACTGCCCTAATCAAAAAGTTGTTCACTAAACAAAAAATGCTAACCAGAACTTTAGTCCTTATCAAAACCCCTTCCTGGAAACATACATAGCCCTGCTTATGCCACAGAAGGGCAGATAATAACATGTGTGCAAGAAATGTGTTTGTCTAGATTATGCATAGGACAATCACAGAATCTCTTGGAACTATTGTGGTAGGGGGTGCGGAGATGGATGTGTCCATGGGCACAAACACACACACACAACATCAGGAAGAAGGAAATTACCATTTATTTAATGTTGTTTATTTCTAATTGGAAAAAAGGGATGTTTAGTCAGAAATGTGATAAGTGCTTTGATTGAATGGTAATGAGCAATTTTTGTAAATGGTACAACATATTTGCTGTTACTATCTGGAGTTCATTTCAAGAGATGGAATGACTTAAGGGTGATGGACCAAATGTTCTCTTCAGTTTCACTCATGCAACCCTGTAGCATCCCCACTATAAGTCACCCCAGCATACATCCATTCCGCAATAAAGTAATTTACGTTTGTAGGAACTGATATATTATAAGTCCTCCCATTCCCCACTATAAGTCATGTGAAATACTCCCCCCAATTTGCTCAAATGGAAGTCAGCTGTGGGAAAAAAATTCTCCACTTTAAGTTGTTTCACTATAAGTCCAAGTTTTTATGAAAGTATCTTGGACTTATAGCAAGGACGGCCTATAGTACTAGTGGAGTTGCACAGGTTTAGCTGAAGATACCCTTTACCACATACCATTTACTATCCCCTCTGGTTACCTTTGATTCCTTGACATCAAAATTGAGGAAGACTATACATGAGCTGATTGCTAAGCAGAGTGCACTCCTTCTCAGAGGTTATGCTCTTCAAGGCAGGAAACAGAGAGACAACTGAGAACTATGGGAGACTCAAGTGTGTACTGCCATGAGGCAGAACAAGCAAAACTTTAAATTATTCTTAAGAAGAGTGTTCATTAGTGACCGCCTCCATGCCAGGAGGTTTACTATCCATTGTCTTTCTACACCTGTTATCTCTCATTTCTGCAAAGCTCTCCTGGGGGAATTCTGCAATTTTACTATGGTTCCAAATGCAGAATTTCCCCAGGATTAGTAAAATGCCAGCAAACATGTCTCTGGTTATTTCTAAGGTGAGCTGGTGTCATGGCATGGAGGTCTCCCTGGTGAGCCTCCTGTCATCAAGATCCGCACTGCAGTTGAGCCTTGCCTCAGCTTCCCCTCAGCTAGGGGAAAGTCCAAACAGGCCTTTCTGATATTGAAAACACCCTCTCTGGAAGTTCTTATTTATTTAACAAAAAAAGGACAATAGAAACAGCTTCAGTTAGGGTATGTCTACACTACCCCGCTAGTTCAAACTAGCGGGGTAATGTAGGCATACTGCACTTGCAAATGAAGCCCGGGATTTGAATTTCCCGGGCTTCATTTGCATAAACTGGGCACTGCCATTTTTAAATCCCTGCTCGTTCGAACCCCGTGCCACGTGGCTACACGCGGCACGAACTAGGAACTAGGAACATGTCCACCATGTAAGCACTTTGGGTATGTCTAGACTACATGGCTCTGTCGACGGAGCCATGTAGATGAGTTTACTAGACATAGCAAAATGAAGCGGCGATTTAAATAATTGCCACTTCATTTACATAAAAATGGCTGCAGCGCTGTGCCGATCAGCTGATTATCGGCAAAGCGGGGTAGTCTAGACGCTCTAAATTCAAATCCCGGGCTTCATTTGCAAGTGCGGTATGCCTACAATACCCTCCTAGTTCGAACTAGGAGGGTAGTGTAGACATACCCTTAGCTACTGCACTGGAAACTCTCTATCCCCACTTAACCAGTCGTACATCTTGCCCTCCTGCCTGGAGCTTGGGCCTATGCTGGGCATTCTGCCAGGTGCCAGTGTGCCCTGACCAGTACTTCACTTTCCATTGAGTCAGTAGTCACCCCCTGAAAGCTCCTCAGGTCTCTCAACCACTTTATTCTCTTGGGCTGATCTGGTTCCTTGCCTGGGAGTCCTTTCTCTCAAGGCTTGTCGCTGCTCTCCTAGGAGATACCATTGGTGGTAGCTTCCCAGCTCAGTGGCATTGTAGCCTTTAATTTACAGTTGCTTATCCTTTATTTTATAGAGAGTGTATTCTTTGCTTGTTTACAGAGTAATGTCAGATTAACAAACCTTCATGACAGGTTCTTGTTGTTGTATTCCAGCTGTAGATAACTAAATGGGAGCCTTAATAAAGAAGCATAGATAAAATGCTTGCAAATAAAATCAGGAATAGCATACAAATATATTGAATAAACATAAAAGCCTGGCATCCATATATAGTATGCGAGCTTTGTATTTCCTCAATACTTTTTTTTTTTTAATCTCTCATCTCCTACAATGTCAGCCAAGTTCGTTGCAATTTAGACATACACTTCAGGTGTCTGGCAGCCTTATCAGACTTGCTACCATTTCATTTTTACTCAGCCAAATATATATATATATATTACACAACCCAACCTCAAATTAATATAGGTGGCAGGAAAAACCGGAGCAGATGAAGAATATTCTGACTCAATCTTGTGAAGTGAAATATTGCACAGTCTGGGTGGCAGCAAAAACCAGAGCTGATGAAGAATATACTGACTCAATCTTGTGAAGTGAAATATTGCACAGTCTTAAGAGCAGGAGAAAAATATATAATGGTTGCATATTTATTTCCCAGGAGAAGTTAAGAACCCTAGATGCCTGCCCTGATATACTTTTCTGGAAATTCAGAGGGCAGATTCTCATGTGCCTTACCGACACACTAATATCAATCCCACTAATATCCCACTAATATCAGTGATTCTGATTCCATCACTCAAAACCACCCCTGAGAGTAAAAGTTTACAGGATACCATGTTTAGTGGCTGATAATTAATTTTTGCTAATCACATTAGTAGATATGAGTATCTTCCTGCTCATTCCACTCTCATTTCTCATTAGTTCTTTCACTTCCTGTCCTTTCGTTTATGAAACACGAAAACCAAGCTGGATAGTAACTGATTTCAATGGGAATTAGACACCTAAGTACTTTGGGGGGTCTGGGCCAGTGTTTCTAAATTGAGTGATTAATAAAATAAATCAGTTCAGTAACTGAGGCTGGGATTTTCAGAGGAGCTTAAAGGAATTAGGTACACAATTCCCACTGAGTTTCTTGATTTCATCAACTTCATAGCTAAAGAGAGCGAATTATGTAGGAATGTTATATTTAAAGAAAGATGTGGTTTTGATGCCCCTGGTTTCTTTGCCTGCTGAATATTTTGAATCAGTTTCACCATTATTACATCCCCTACTGAACTTTAACTGGTTTATCTATAAAATGGTCAGTTACTCCCATCGGGAGGGCAAGCTGTCATCACCAAGGTTAGTTGGATGAATTGGATCTTGTTTTTATCCCTGTCTTTATCCCTGTGCACATATAGCCCAGTGGGCCAGCCCAATAGTTTAGCAGCATTGCTCGGGTCAATGGCTCGGGGGATTCAGCTCTTTCCTTTCCCAGACTGATTGAGTTTAGCCAGGTCACAGAGAGATTGTACTTGAGTTTAGACATGTTACAGATAAACTAACCTATGTGCAGATAAACAATAATAAACATAATAATCTGTCAGCTACCCATTATACTAGAAATAAGAAAAAAACATCATTTCACGTTTATAAAAAAGTCTGTTTACTGTAAAAATAACAACTTTCAAAAGCTGTCCTCCTTTCAATTTGTGTGCTCTGATCTCTTCCCTCCCAAGTACATCAGGGTCTGTTGTAATTATTTATTAGGTTTTCCATGTAATTTACTTTGTAAAATTGTCAGGGCAAGGACCATGACTTCTTGTATATCTGACAGTGCCATGCAAACTAGTGGTGCTATATAAGTAATATTAATAATAATCTCTGTGAAAGACAATCTGTTTCAGGGATATCTAGTAAATCATCCTACTCTCCCTAGATAGGGAACTTTGATTGTATTTGTTTTACAGTTTATTCTACTGTAAATATAGCCTGACACGCCCTTCCTTGAAGCAAAGAAGACAATGCACCTCCACAGATGAGTCTTACATAATAATTTTCTCCTCTTCCATAACTACATGTGCCTTCCCCAGTTCACCAATTTGTTCACCAAATTGCCAAAATATATAGTCTGATCTATGTCAG